AACCCTGAATTCAGGACCAGTCTATAAAACTACCAATTAGAATTTTACTAATAGTAGTAGGACATATTCCCCACTTACAATGGGGAAAATAGATTTTTCACTAGACACATTTCCATTTCTGATTTTTTTTTAATTATCTATCCAAGTTGACCAATTTTAACTTTCCAGATTAAACATACATTCCCCTTCCTTGTATATTACACATTCTTAGATCTTATATAGTGCGATCCCTTTTCCAAATTATATGACTAATTTCAAATTCAGCTTTTAGAAATATATTCAGCCTCCCATGTCACTAAATGTTCTGTTCAGTCTGAATACATCTTATTTAGATGAGCTACACCCTTGTATTCACATAAGCATGACAAGGAGGTTAAAATACAGTTCCTGCAGTCAATTCAGGGAGCTCCATAATTAAGGCAGACAGAGCTCCCCAATCCTTCAGCGCACACACACCCCTTGCCATTATCAGTTTCACAAATTAGAGAAGCTAGAAGACTAGCTCAAAGAATAAAAATATTTTGGCTTCATGTAGCTAACAAGGATTATTTTTTCTATGTCCAGTCGACAAAACTAGTGGTATTCAACTGCTGAAAAAATAATTGTCAGACTGCAGGGCACAGTTGTTTGCCTCGTTTTCTCTCAGATAGTCCAATAAATTGTTTTAAAATATGTAAAGTTATAAACACATCTAAAATTTAAGAGATCAAAAATTAAAAAATCATAAAATTCAAGGACTTGAGTTCTATTCAAGACTATTCCTAGCCAAAAATATGTTACGCGTTACACTAGCTTCTGCCCTAAAAGTTTTTTCATGCCTTTGTGCAGTGCAAAGACACAGACTGATGTTTTGAGGTACACCGTAATTTTTCAATCAAACAAATCTATAAACCAAACCTCTTTTAATTTTTTTTTAAAAGACCATGGTCTTCACTTAAACAGATAATTTTAAGCACTTTGTTACCAGTTTAAATAACTAATTTAAAATTGATCTCTCACCAAATATTTTTTTTTGATCAACAATCTATATTTTAAAGGTTTTATTCTATTTTTATCATACAACTATGTACGTAGAAAGGTCCATCTTTAGTCAGCCTGGAAGCCTTTTAGCAGTGATTCCGAAAGTGAGCAGCTCAGTAAATTGTCCCTGTTAAATATTATCAAACCAATTCTAACCCTGTTTATAGAAAAATAAGCACTACTGATTTAAGTAGGACCTACTTTCAACAGTACATACAATCACAAGTAATTCAAGTCATTACTTGAAAGTAAAATAAACTGATCAGTTTCATGGAAAATGGCAATCACACTTGAGAGCACAATTGCCTGCAAACTCTCAATTATCCTATTTTTGAATAATGATAGTTAGGACTGGTTGGATGATTTATTCACTTGTACTGACAAACCTACGATTGATTACTTATTTAAAACAAAAGGATAGCCTTCCAAAGCTGATCACAAATTATTCCTGTGACTAAATCGAGTTATAATCTTAATTTCCCCACTAACGTTTAAGACTGAAATAAGATTTTTTTTTAAAAAAGTTCACACCCCAACCCCCACCATCACCCAACCCCAAGAATTTGCCACAGTTCATCTTTCTTTCCCACTTCCTGTGCCTGAGGCCCAGATCTCAGTAGAGGAAAACAGAGCCTATTTCACTGGTAAAAGGACCCCCAGCTGGTCTGAGGCAGTCAGATGCAGAGCATCTTTTGTAACTACAGAGTTTTCTGGCTCAGTTGATGAAATAAAACAAGAGTCCCAGGAAGGGAAACAACTGTGCCCCAAAGGTGAACGGCTCCTAATGCTCTTGGGGCACAATGCAAACCCCATTTTACGAAGAAAATAAGGCAGTGGCTGAGGTGGGATGAAGAAAAGCAGTACATCAGAGCTATATATATATAGAGAGAGAGTGTGTTACATATATTTATAACACGCCCTTTTCTCCCCAGTTTGTTCTGTGGGAGAAAAAAAAAAAGAAATCAATGCAAAGGCTCCTGGCTAAAAACGTAGGTGGGGGAAGGGACGAAACGGAGAGCTGCCTCTATGAAAAACGAGAAAAGCCATCAGCCGCCCTCCTCCTCCTCCTCCTCCTCCCGCTGAGAAAGTACCTCCCTTCACCCAGAAGGCGGGGGGGGGGTGAGGAGAGGGGGATGCTCGCACGGCCCCTCTCCCTTAGCCTAGAAGCCTCTGCGCGCGCGCACGACTCACTCGCTCGCTCACTCGCTCACACCAACCACACACCGGCACGCGCGCAAATGCACACGCCTCGCCCGCGCGGGAGGGTGGGCGGGACTGTGTATCGCGCGGTTCCCCCCCCCCCCCCCCCACCCCCCCCCCCCCCCCGGGGGGAGAGGCCAGCCCCCGCCCCGCGGGGGGGGGGGGGGGGCAGGGGTTCCGGGGGGGTCCCCCCCCCCCCCCACAAAACCGTTTCGCTAGAAGGATGGGGGAAAAAAGAGGTTTGCCACGAACGGAGAGCCGACGGTTATTGACGCCGCGGCTCAAGGCCTCGTGTGGAGAGAAAGGGAAACGGGCCCTCTCTCGCTTTTGCAAAGAATATGGAAACACGGCGCGCGCACACAAGCGGCTTGTCTTCCGCCACATTTTATTCGCGTCAAGCTTGTTGGGTTCCCCCCCGCCCCCCACTTCCTTTACTAATACTGGGGTTGAAAATAGCGGCTCTACACAAACGCGCACAAACACACAGGCGGCCACGCCCCCTCTCCTCATTCAGTTCCTTTCCCTCGGCTCGTCCGCTGCGCGTTCCTGAGGCGGCGGCGGCGGCGGCTTTGGCAGACTGTAAAACCGAACCGCGGCGCTGCCTGTCCCACATGGTCAAGGCACGCCCCCCTCGCAAAGCTCGGGCCTGATGGCGAGGCAAAGCACGGAAAGAGACACCTTCCCTCCTCCCCCCACCTCCCCGTGGCTAAGGAGAGCGCACCGAGATCCCTTCTGTCAAGAGAAACGGCTGGGGTGGCGGGCGGGAGACACTCCCCTTTTCCGAATCAAACCAAATCAAGCCGGCGAGAAAGATAACCTAGTCCGAAAGAAAGAAAGAAAAGCTCTAAGGCTGTAAAAAACACTCGACTATAACCTTTCGCTTCAGCGGCATCCGCCAGCGCGCCCACCCCCCCGCACCGACGGAGACAACCCGAAGGGGACCCCCCCCCCCCCCCCCCCCCCCCGCTTTCCCACCGGTCACCCCACATCCAACCAAGGTTGCTGCCACAATCTCCCCCCACCCATGGCCAAATCATTGCTGGGTCCCAACCCTGGCATCCTTGTCTGGCTTGGCACCCGCCGCTCGGAATGAAGGACCCAGATGTACAGCCCTGGAACACGCCACCACCGAAGCTCTCTCGCCCTTTATCCCGCCATTTTGCCCCCAATCGCCTTTTCCTGCACCACACCGGCAGCCCACCCAACCGAACATTTTTTTTGGGGGGGGGGGGAAGCGCACATATACAGGGGGAAAAAGGGAAGAGGTATTAAAAAAGAAGAAGAGATCAGCCCTTTAAAGTCTATCTACCCTTTTCTCCCCAACCCTCCTCCTCCCCCCTGAAGTCTCAGCTGAGGCTCCTCCAAGGGTGAGGGAAGGCTTGGATACATGGCATATCCAGAGGCGTTGCTTCTATAGAGGCTAATATTGAATCGAGTTTCTATCAGTTCCAGCTGATTTATTAAAACTGTCAAGATACAGACTTTCAGCATTAAAAAAAAACCAGGCAATGTTGTTGACAGTGCACAAGTCTGTTATGTTGCCATCCTATGCTACAAAATATGCAGATGGTCTGTACTTGTAAGAATCATATTGCACAAAATGAGAAACTTTTACTATGTGCCTTTCTTTTTTCCCCATTTCATTATTTTTTAAATTTTCACTAAAAAAAAGAGAATCCAGTTTCATACCTTCCATCTGGGCCCCCATTCACATATCACAGCATATGAGATACATAAATTCCTACTATAGTACAGTACATATACAATCTTTTTAACTAAGATAACAGCTCTGAGGTCTATATCACCATTTTCAATAAATCTTTACCTACAAATATTGAACAAATCTGAACTATAGCTGTACAAAAAAGTGTTTTGTTTTCTTGTTTTTTTTAAACCACAAGGCCTTTAGATACAAGGATTTTTTTTAATCCTTTCAAAACCAGGACATAAACGTACCCATATAACTTGCATGCTAAAAACAGAGGAAAAAAATAAAAAAATAAAAGGGAAGAAGTGCCTGAAAAGTCTTACTGAAAAAACACAGCAAGAATGTTCCCTTTCACTGTACAAAAATACGCCTGAAAATATATTAATTTTTTAAAAAGACTGAGGTCTGTTATGTATCAAAAATGTTTCAATACCTTTGTGTACTGAGGTCTAGGCTGTCTGGTATTCAATCAAGGAGGTATAAGGGAACAAGTTACAAAAAAAAAGTTGGCAAGTAGAAATCACATTTGTAAAACCATAAACAATTTGATCTGAAAAGTAAACTCTGATCTTAAAGTCAGTTCACAGTTTGTTTTTTGTAAGCGTTTGTACAGTCTGCATTTTTTTTCAAGCTCCCTGCAGCTTTGTTAAGAATTGGATGCATAGAAGACATCAGTTTTCTCCCTCCAAACAAAAAAGTTTGCAATGGTCCCTTTAATTTTTTTTTAAAAAATCAGAATAGTCCTTAGAATTCTTTGTAGGAGAAATAAAAAAAAATCCACAAACCCCCTTGAGTAACAGTTGTGCTGCCAAAAGACTTTTTTTTGCAGACCACTTCCAGACTTCAATCACAAACTTCAAACAACGCCTTCTTGAATCTTTTAACCCCCAGTCCCGTTTGCCTTTTTTTCCTTGCTGCTACTGTTGTGATTACCAATTTAAAAAAAAAATCAGAAGGAAAAAAAATCACAACTCCGGACTCGGTTTGGAACTAACTTCAAGACTTTAAAAAGAAAGAAAAGAAAAATCCAAAGACATTTTGATCATTACTTCACTTCAAAACTCCACCACGTTTAAGCGTAAATCACTAGCATCAACTTTCCATTACCGATTTTTTTCTTTTTTTTTTCTCAGTCCTTTTGATATCTCTCTCTCTCTCTCTCTCAGCCTGTTCGCCTGCCCGTCGCTTTTTCCTCTTGCTTCCTCTCTCCCTCCCGCCCTCTCTCGCTTCTTCAGTAAGTGAAAACCAAGTCGGAAAAGTTCGCTTCCAGCCAGTCGCCTGCGATCATCTCGCTCAGCTCCGGGGTGCAGTAATCGGGGAACTCGAAGTGAGAGCCCAAGCTACCCTCGCTGAACGAATCCAAATCCTTATCCACGAGGGAAAGGGACAGGTTGCCCGCCGCGGAGCTCACGCCCATCTCCGAGGCGGCGTGAGTGTGCTGGGAGAAATTCAAGCTCAAGTCAAACATCAGGTCGTCCGCCTCTTCGCTACTGCTGCTGGAAGAAGAGGAGGAGGAGGAGGTGGAGACGGACCGGGAAGAAGCCGGGGACAGGCTGGGCTGCTGGGCGCTCTTGGGCATACTCTTGAAGCCGTAGTAGAGTCTGCTGGCGCTGGCGCCATGCGCGGTGGCACCCCCCCTCACCTCTTCGTACAGGCTGGCCCCTTCGGTGGACTCTGCCGAGGAGCTCAAGGTAGGGCTGGCCGGGACTTTGGCTACGTTGTACCGCCTCAACTGCTGCTGCTGCTGCTGCTGCTGTTGCTGCTGCTGCTGGTGGTCCTCTTCCTCCTCGTCGTCGTCCTCCTCCTGCTTGATCCGCAGCTGCAAGTCGTCGTCGTCCTCCTCCTCCTCTTCATCCTCGTCCATGAAGACGCACTTGATGGTCTTGCTGCTCACTTTCAGCGTCCCGAATTGGTGGTAATCCTCTCCCCCGTAGTCGCCCGGGTGGGGAGCCAGCTTCGTCCCGGCCTTCGGGGGAGACGACGACGAGGAAGAGGAGGAGGAAGAGGAGGAGGAGGTGGTTTTCCCTTTGCTACATTTCTTACTGGAGCTTTTGGCGCTCTTGCCGCCGTTGCTGTTGCCGCTGCCGGTACTGGTGGGTGTGTTTTTCTCCGGGCTGTGGTTAGCGCTGGGTTTGGCGGACGGGTCTATTTTGGGCTTTTTCCTCGGCCTGTATTTGTAATCGGGATAATCGGCCATGTGTTTAAGGCGCAGTCTTTCGGCTTCCCGGATGAACGGGATCTTTTCGCTGTCCTTGAGCATTTTCCACCGCTTGCCCAGGCGCTTGGAGATCTCGGCGTTGTGCATGTCCGGCGACTGCTCCATGATTTTTCTTCGCTCGATCTTGGACCACACCATGAAGGCGTTCATCGGTCTCTTGATGTGCCCCGAGGCCGTTTTGCACCAATCCGGATCGCTCTCATCCAGCGCTACCGGGCTGCACGCCATAAACTCCCCTTCTTCGGTATCCATCGCTTCTCTGGGCAGGTTGTTCTCCGATTCTGGACTTTCCGCTTGCTGGACCATGGTGGGAGGTACGATTTGTCTTGAGAGTTTCTTTGTAAGTCTTTCGGGTCGATTATTATTATTATTTTAAAAATATATTTTTCCTCCACTTTGCACCCACCGACCGCTCGCCCGCCTCGTTCGGCTCACGCGAGCGGCTGCAAAGGTGAAGCCCGGCGCGCAACTTGCAAGCTCCTTTTTTTTTTCTCTGTCTGTCTGTCTGTCTCTCTCTCTGTCTCTCTCTCTTTCTCTCCCTGCCCTTTGCGTTTCTCAGTCTCTCCGTTTCCCTCCTGCCCCTCGGACGCCGCTGATTATCCGTCTAGCGGCGGCAGAAGCAGGACTCGCTCCGGCTCTTTCCCCTCCCCCTACAGCAGCAGCAGCAGCAGCAACAGCAGCCGCCCGGACCCAGAGATCTCGCTGGATCACACTCCCCCTTCTGCAAAAGTTGCGGGTTCTCTCCGAACTAGTTATCAGGGTTTCATATGGGTGACATCACTCCCGCGGCCAGCCAATGGGAGAGGCGAACTCCTCCCCTCGGCTCCGCCTCTCCCCCTTTATTAAGTTCCCCCACATCATGTAGGCATACACACCCCCTTTTGCAGCGGCTGTTGGAAGGCGTGGGGTGGGGGAGAAGATAAAGTGGAAGTGGGAAGGGGGCTGGGCTTGGAGGTTCGTCTTAACAGTCGGAGAGGGAAGGAGGGGACAGAAGCGAGGGAATGGCTCGGAGAGGTCGCTAAAAGCCGCGTTGGGAGCAGGAGATCGCCCATTCCTCCTTGGGCTTTCTTGATAGGAAGGGGCCCTACTTCTTATTTACCAGAATCTGGGAGACAGCGCAGGTGAATCCGGTGCGATTATTCCCACATTGCCTAGTGTCACACTGGGGGAGCTTATCCTTGTAGGAATCCACTCGCATCCTCTGGGCATTGGCTTCTTCTTTGCGCAACAGCTGTAGGTGGCGCTTGAGTACCACTAGCTCGTTGCGGTTTCATTTCCATCAGATTCCTTCTGTACACTGAGACAGACAAACACAGAGAGATTTGTGTGTATGTGTCCTCTTGACTTGCAGATTATTTAACACCCTCCCCCCCAAACCTTTCTTCCTTTCTAGGTACATTCTGCCACACCTCCCCATCTACCTGATCTCGTGGCAGGACTATATTTTGAATTTCTTGCATCTCGTTTTTTTAAAAAAAACAGCAGCAGGAATATAATCTGGTTCTTCTATGGTAGATTAATATCTCTTGAGTGTGCTTCTCAGGGAATACTGGTTAGCTTCAAGAGATGAAGGGGAAGGGAGCTTGAAAATTCATATATGCCTATCATATATGATAATTCAGTTGTCCTTAACTGCATGTACTTTGCCCATGTTCGTATATTTACTAACCCCATTCAAATACCATTTTTAAACAGTCATCCGTCTTAAATAAAAAAAAAATGAATTCAAAGCAAAACAGAGTACTGTATAATTTATAACGCATATTTCAAAGTACCTTTAGCTTTATCTAAACACTGATTTTAATCAGGTTATATTTTCTAAGTAATAAGGATATGTAGGTGAGGCTGGCAATGCTAACAAAAGTGTGCTTAGGTGTACTAGGCCATTTGCTTTATCAGCACTTTTCTACAAACTTATTCCAATAAACATGCTTAAAACTCTATTTTGTATGTCCTATATTTGTAATTCAAAGTAAAATGTATTTTAAATGTTTCCTTTTTTGCATAAACAGTGGCCCCGCCATTCCTGCAAATAGTTTAAAAAAAGATTTAATGATGTTTTAAGTATGACAAATGTGGATGTAGTTATAGGATTAGAATGTAATGTCACTTTTGAAAGTTAAATTATCTTAAGTCTTTTTGCACCAGTACATACATGTTTATCTGGGAGTTCACTAGCAAGAAAATCAGTCCATCATCACAAAATACCTAACTCCCAATGTGACAGCAAGGAGAGTGTTGTGGCATTAATTTGATGGCAACATTTTGCAAAAAGCAGCACTTAAAAGCATATATCATCAAAGATGTAATAGGTGCAAGAAAATAAATAATATACAAACATGTAATACTTAATGTATTTTTGGAATAAAATGAATATAACGATGCATGCCATTTATTAAATGTACTTTTACTTATGTAGACCTCTTGCCAAAGTTAAAGCAGATTAAAAAAACACTGCTAAAAATGCTGAATATGAGATTAAATATGAAATACAGCATCTGCTCCAAAATAAGGTATAAAAATCTTCAGACAGCAAAAATTGGATCATGGCTAGCTTGCTAGTTTTCATTGCAGAACATGAAGTCATCACAGAATGGCTTTGCCTTATTTAGACGGAAGAGTTTGTGTTGGAAAACTGTCCTTTGAAATAGACCATTTGCAGACACCAGTATTCCTGGGTCAACCACAGTGACCCACCCTCTTCCTGTCCACTCTGCTCAAGGTGGGGAAAATATCTGCACTCTTTTAATTAGAACTCCTGCCCCCTTAGACTTGAAGAGGAAGAGATCATTTTCTGGCTCAATCTTTATTCCAGAAAGAACTGTCAGGTTATTGCAATTGCTTATTTAAGGAAGGAAAAAGCCACGTTAGGAATATGTGAATGGAACCTTTGCTTACATTCAATTCGTACCCATTTTTGTTTTGAAATTCAACTAGAGCAAGGCAGAGAGAAGCTTTCCCAGTTGCAAAATTTGTGTTCTGATTAACATTCTGTGCTGTGCCCTAACATGATTTGTCTGACTCTGATTTTACACATTTGGGGGACCCAGTCAATCAGGTTTTGCAAATCATTTACAGCCAATTGTAGCTCAGTCAATTAAGCGTGATTAAACAAACCATGGCATAAAATACTATGTGAACTAGGCTAATATATGACTGTGGCTGAACCAGCCCTCCTTGTTTGGAAGCTACCATAGATCCAGTGGTCACAAACTAATACCCCAATTCATATCTCCATTCTGATCAGTTAGTATTGTCCTTTTGTAGAATAGCAATAGCAGTGGCAATAGACTTATATACTGCTTCATAGTATCCCTCTCTAAGCAGCTTAGAGAGTCAGCATATTGTCGCCAATAATCTGAGTGTCAACTCTTGAAACAACTTTAGCTGAAGCCATATGTTGTTTTCTTCATTTCTTAGTTACCATACATATGGGGGGTAGGAGGACAAACAGAGTGTGGAATATTTTCTTTTAATGCACGGGTATTAAACTCACGGCATCACAGAAGCATCATATCGGGACTTTTCCCCCCTTCACTAAACTGAGTATAGGCATGGCCAGCGCATCACTCATCCAGCTGGGAGTTTGACAACCCTGCTCTGATCTGCCATGATAGTGTTCGTGGGAATCAAGGTCATTTCAACAAGCACTCGTAACAGCCAGAGGGAGTAGCTGAAAAGCCCACCAACTACCTGGTTGGTTAATGCGACACTAGTGGGGTGAGCAATGTCTATTTCACCAAATGTGGGAATTATTTACAGTTGGTTTCACATTTGAATGTGCCACTATAATGTACCCAATAAAGGAATCTTTGGGGAATGCTATGGACTCAAGAGTTCTGAATTGATTGAGATCCTTACTCAGAACCATGACATTAAACCAACTCTACATACACTGGTTCCTCATTTCGACCTTGGAAGGATGGTAGGCCGACTCAACCTTGAGCCACTCAGAATCAAATTCCTGGCAGTCAGCAGAATTAGTCTGCAATACCACATTCTAACCACCGTGCCAGCATGGCTCTTGTTTGCACAGTTTGTAAACAAATATAAAACGATCTAATATCATACTTTTTATCTAAGGTGGATTTAAAATTCTAGAACTTTATTTTAGGATATATCATACCTAAGATGCTTAATGTCACATGGTCTAGCTTTCTGTATAACATTACCATTATCTTTGGATTTGTGCCAAAAGAGTGGTGGTTATGAGAATTTCTCTTCTGCAACACATCTAGTTTTGTAACTATTCTTGCTATAGTTTCAGTGTAAAATGTCAAGTGCTCCTTCAGTGTAAAATGTCGACTGCACCTTCAAAACAGGAGAAAAAAATAGTGCTATGTCCTGTCTGCTTTTTAATGGGTTGTGGGAGTTCTAATGAAAGCCACCAAAATAGAATTAAATCAGCAGTTTGTTACATGATGGTGGAGTAAAGATGGATAAAATAACATTCATAATTGCTTTGTATGGTTTGAAGTCACCAATGTCTGCAAGTTACATTTTTTTTCACCTAGTGTGCTTTTACTAAAGCAAAAATATGCCAATAAAATTTAACGTAGACCCGCAAATAGATGAGTATGCAGTATTGTATAATTTTATTATCAAGCTGGCAAGAGGTTAACATAACTGCCTGATATAGGCAACCAGAATGTTTGTCAAAGTTAGAAATGTAATTATGGGATTCTGTCTTTCAACCTGTTATGCCAAGACTATAAAATAGTCAGGAAACTGAATTCTTTGCTATGATAAATGTAGCCAGTGAAACACTTTTGATGTTGTACAACATGAAAAAAAATAGGATCACCATGGCAGACAGTATTTAACAACCTACAAATTCCTATGTTGGCATGTAAAAATGCATTTACCTTAAGCTATTATCAAAACTGAGAGCCAATTTGGTGTAGTGGTTTAAAGGACCAGGTTAGAAACCCAGAGACTATGATTTTTAGGCCTTTAGGCACAAAGCCAGCTAGACAAAATCCAGAAAAGCACCAGGGCCAGACAAGATAACTCCTTCTTGCTTAAAAGTGTGTACTGACCAATTCGCCCCATCTTCACCTGAATCTTCAATAAATCACTAGAGATGTGCTGTATTCCTTCTTGCTTCAAATGTTCTATTATCATCCCAGTGTCAAAGAAGCCCTCCATCAAGGAACTGAATGACTACAGACCAGTTGTTCTTAACATCGCCAGTTGTGAAAATCTTTGAAAGGCTAGTGCTGTCCCACCTGAAAACCATCACAGATCTGCTGTTAGATCCCATGCAGCTCACATACCGAGCAAATAGTTCGACAGGTGATTCTGTTAATATGGCTCTGCACTACATCCTATAACACTTTGAATCTCCAAATACCTATGCAAGGGTCCTCTTTGTGGACTTCAGTTCAGCAGTCAATACCATCATTCCAGACATTCTTCTAACTAAATTCAACCAGTT